GCTGGAGCCCCTTGTAGTCCAAATGGGAGAACGTTAAACTGGAAACAACCCATCGGGCAGTTAAAAGCGGTTTTCCACTCACCTTCTTTCTTAATTCAAATTCGGTAATACGCTTCTCTCAAGTCCAACTGTGAAAAATTTCCCTTTCGCCAGGTGGGCTAGCATGTCCTTCATCAGGGGGAGGGGGTATACGTTTTCCACAGAAATTGCGTTCAGGTTTCTATAGTCAACTACTAGACGTTTGGAGCCATCTTTTCACAGAACAGTACTGGGGCGGCTACCCGAGGTCTAGCGGGTTGGATGAAACCACGTTTGAAACTCCTCTCCTCTGCTTGTGTTTTGCATTTGGAACAGATTATTTTTCAGGTGGGGATAGGGAGTAGAACTCCTTAGCATCAGAGCGTGTTAATAATAATATAGGAAATACTAATGCTCTGATAGTCATTTTGAAAAAGAACAAAAAATTTTTCTCTCTTTAATTTTTTTCCTTCCAGTTTGATAATCTTCTCAAAGTGTTTACTCGCCACTTTAACAGATAATTCTGAGTTAATAGTGAACTTTCTCTTGTGGTTGAGTTTTAGTAAAAAAGGATCCCTCTCCCAGTTCCATACTGTTCACTGAAATCTGCTCCAGCACAAATCTTAGGTGGTCGTTGGCTGTCCAGGCTTCATGGCAGCCATCTTGGGGCTGCCTCTTCACCTTGTCGTGGCTGAGAGGGAAAGAAAGCTCCAGATCAGGCAGGAAAGATCCGCAACCTCACAGGGCAGCCCTCTTTGCTTCGCTGCCTACAGGGCAGCTTTTCGGAGCCCATCAATGGGAGAATTGGCACAGGAGCGCAGAGACCCGCTCCTCATGTCCAATCTTGCTGTGATGTCAGCCAGAAGTCATTTTCAGTCTTATAAGTGGCCACAAATTACTAGCAAAAGTGGCATTTGATCACAGGCCCCTTTTGCAAGAAGGGACAGGAAAGACAAAGAAAAAAAAGGAAAGAGGCAAGAGAGCAAGGAAGGAAAAAGAAGGAAAGAGGAGAAGGAAGAAGAAAGAAAGGAGAAGGAAAAAGGGAAGGAAAGAAGAAAGGAGATTATAATGAGAGTGAGTGAGGGTCTGAGGTAGATCCTGCCTTAGCATTTGGCCACCAGCAGCCCTGCTGCCTTTTGTCATCCCCTTGTCCCCTCTTCCTGATCTCTCCTGGTGGTCTCCCCTCCTATCACTGAGGATGCTTTGGTTACAAAGCTGGGACTCCTCGTAAGGAGATAGTGAGCCTCCCTCTGACCCACACACTTTGCCCTCCTGCACACACCATGAGCAACCTGGCCAAGGACAGCAAGCACAGCAGCAGTGGGAGCTAGCCATGCCCAACATGGCCACGCCCCTGGCCACGCCCACCCCATCCCCCAAAAGTCAACCATAATCCTGATGCGGCCCTCAATGAAATTGAGTTTGACACCTCTACTCTAGATGATAGGTTCAAGATCCAGATAGATCTAAATGACTTGAACCCTGGGCCCTATCTAACAAAATGAAATTGAACCGAGAGAAAAGTAAAGTCTTACACTTAAGCATGAAAAACCAAAAGTACACATATGGATTAGGTGAAACCTGGCTCAAAAACAGTAACTGTGAGAGGGACCTTGGAGTCCTAGTGGACAATCACTTAAATAAGAGCCAGCAGTGTACAGCAGCAGTCACAAAAGCCAATACAATCTTAAGTAGCATTAACAGAGGGATCGAATCAAGATCACATGGGGTACTAGTACCGCTTTATAAAGCCTTAGTAAGGCCACACTTAGAATACTGCATCCAGTTTTGATCATCACACTTTAAAAAATATATTAAGAGTCCAGAGAAGAGCAACCAAGATGATTAGGGGCCTGGAGGCTAAAACATGTGAAGAAAGATTATAAGAACTGGCATTGGTTAGTCTAGTGAAGAGAAAGACCAAGGGAGTCATAATAGTGTTCCAATATTTGAGGGGCTATCACAGAAAGGAGGGGGACAACCTCTTTGTGATGACCTGGGGTGTGGCACAAAGGCAACACAGTCAGATAATCAGTAGGTGTCCCTTAACTAGCTCCAACTTTGCCCCCAATATCCTGGTTACCTTCTGGCTGGAGAAAAACTCTCCCAGGAACAGCCTTTGGCTGCAGAGAATCAATTCCAAAACGTGGTCAACAAAAACTGTAACTATAAATCCAATCAAGGCAAAATGAGGTAATTAGTCTGGCAGGGCAGGAGCAAGAGTTTCAGACATGAAGGCAATGAAAAGGGGGTGGGCCTGGGTCTTCCTCTGAACTCCCTCTCCCTAGTTCTATTTCTTCCCTGCTCTGCCCAGCCGGACTTTGCCCTTCCCCCATTTCCTCCACAGCCAACTGAGCCACACTCCCACTCCCTGTCAGCTGTTTGTCTTCCTCCTAGGATTCAGACTCTGATAGGGGCATGACACTTTTTTCCAAAGCACCTGGAGGCCAGACAAGGAACAATGGATGTAAACTGATCAAAGAGAGATTTAATGTAGAAATGAGAAATTTTCTCAGAGTGAGAACAATCAACCAATGGAACAGCTTGCCTTTAGAAGTTGCTTGTGTTTCATCACTGGCGACTTTCAAGAAGAGACTGGACAGCCACTTGGCAGAAATGGTATAGGGCCTGCTGCTTGAGTAGGGGATTGAACTAGATGACTACAAGGTCCCTTCTAAGTCTGTTATTTTGTACACTTGCCTTGCCTGTCCCCATATATGCCTATGCCGATTTGGCGATGGTTGGTGTGGGGAAAACTGGAGAAGCAATTATTATGTAAGCTCCATTAAAATCCTAGAGGAATTTTATGTTTAAACTTCGTACTTAAATTTCTTTGTTTCAGTCATCATGAGAAATTCTGTCTTTCTTGGAGTTGCTTCTGTCTTGTGAAGTACTTGTGGTCTCATTTTTTTCAAAATGGTCAAAGGAGTTTGTTTGCAGAGTATATTTAGCTGTGCTTTATCTGTGAACTCTTAAAATCTTTTTAATGCCAGTAAATTTTTCCTTAAAATAAATTACTATTTTATATTGTATTACATTTAAAGTTGCCTTAATGCAGGGGTGTCAAACTCATGGCATCACAGCAGCGTCATGTGACATATCGCAACTTTCCCCACTTCTTTAAACTGGGTGTGGGCGTACTTGCCTGTGGACCACAACTTCGACAGCCCTGCCTCAAGCACTAGGATAGATAACAACAGCTCAATATAAGCAGTATATGTATATACAGAAGGAGAAAGGATGGGAGGGAAATAAAATGAAAAAAGAAAATGAAAAAAATTGGGATGATAATTCTTGATAGCCAAATAAATGGCCATTAACACGGTAGTATAGATGCTGATATATAGAATGTATGCATTGTATTAAATATGCTGACCACTTTCCAGTTACAGGTGTATAATGTAATTTCTTGATAAGTAATAATTTAGTCATTTTATATTTTTTAAAGGGTAGCATGCTAAGATCATTTTGGAAGGCTGAAAAATGGTTTCATAATTTTCTCACTATTGCCCAATTTGTTCTATATAAATGTAGGAAGGAATTGCTGGAAAATGATAGAATATAGCATATTCCATCCATGTGAATGGATCTTACATGTTTGCTTTTTATTATATGATTTTCATAGATTGACATAAATTAAAAGTCTCTGTGGTTTACTAAGAAAATAATTAACTAAAAGATTATTGTGAGTGAAATATCACATCATGGTTATGATATGATTGATATTATAATTTGGTATGATAAACAATACAGTATTCAGATGGTTACCTTTGCCAAAGGTTCATCGAAATATAACAATGGTTAGGATCTTTATGAATTCAAGCAAGCAAGCTTGGAACCAAGGTTCCCTTTGGAGCATCATGTCCCATAATATGGATCTAGTAATGAGATTTTTCATCTTGTGGTCCACACCCAACTTACCTCATGTGGAGTCAGAATTCTCTTGATGTCAAACTAGACTGGTAGAGTTAGGCTTCATAAGGTGGTCCTGATATAATCCGGTAGCAAATTACATAGAGGTTTATAGCACTTTTACTGTTTTGGGGAGTCTACTGGCAGCCAGTGCAGCAATTTTTGAATGAGTATCACCAATTTGATCACCTCCTGATTGAACTACCCCACTGTTCTTTAACTGGGGATGCCTTTGAAAATGACTCAGAAGCTGGAGCTGGTGCAGAGGGTTCCAATAGCAGATCCCACAGCTGACCCTCTGCACCAGCACCAGCTTCTGAGCCAACTCCAAAGGCATCTCCAGTTAAAGAACACTGGAGTAGTTCAATCAGGAGGTGATCCTGATTGATCTTCCAGATCAATCTTCCAGATAATTGGTGCACCAATTAAAGATGAGCAAAAACTTAAGTCACAACTTCCACTGGAACTCACACACTAAGATTGATTATTTGATAGCCATGATGCTTAGTCTTATGCCCCTTTAGTCCCATCTAATAGCCCAGTTGTTCCCCAGCTAAAAGTTTTTAGATCCTGTACTAATGCTGAGTTACTATTAATTCTTGTGCATATTTTGATCCCCATGTTTGGGGTGTTGTTACTAATTTAATTGTTACTCTTGAAGAATTGTGTTCAGTAATAGTAGTAGTAGTTTTAACTGTTTTGTCTTTTTATATTTAACACTGTCCAATTTCGTTTCTTCCTCCTCCAATTGAAGTCTTCTCCATCCTTTCCTCCCCATGTATGTAATTGCATGGAGATGGGCGAGATGGGTGTGTATACATAAATGTAATTATGCTTGCCAGCTTATGATACCCTACCACATATATCTGAGAAAGTGAACTCTAGTCTTATAAGCTTGTTCAATAATAAAATAGTTATTATTTAAGATGATGCATAACTTAAAAAAAAACAGATTATTTTATTTGGAAATTGTGATTAGAATTTAACATAAATTAGAAGTTTGTAGTTTAACAACACTTTCATTACTATTTGAATTCAGCTGTGAACAAAAGCATTTTTTTTTTCTGCAGGTATTTAAGCCATATCAAGCTTCTCAGCATGACATGTGTCGCTTTCATTCAGAAGATTATATTGACTTCCTTCAGAGAGTTAGTCCTAACAACATGCAAGGATTCACCAAAAGCCTCAATGCTTTCAATGTGGGAGATGACTGGTTAGTATTATACACCATTTAGATGTATAAAATGAATGAGAAGGATGCAAAGTTTTCATGTTTTGGAGACTGCATAAGAAATGTCTCCCATAGGATACAATTCATACAATTTGGTATATGTAGGTACGCTAAAAATTTGGTACCTAACATCTAAACCATTTATCCAGCTAATTAGGAGACTTAACAGTTTGTCTCCTGCCAAAGACAAGCTAGTACTCTTCTCCATTCTATTTATAGAAACCAGCTGAACTATCAGATCTTCAACTAGTAATGAGACTGAATCCTCAACTGCACTTAAAGGCAATAGGATAGTTTAGATCAGGGGTGTCAAACTCATGTCGTCATGGTGACGTCACATGACATATCGGGACTTCCCCCCCTTAGCTAAACCAGGAGTGGGCATGGCCAGCTCATGATGCATCCGGCCTGTGGGCCGGGAGTTTGAGAGCCTTGGTTTAGGAAATGCAGGACAGGTTGTGTGACATACACAGTTGTGTTCTCAAAGAGAAAAGGATGCTGGGAAGCTCAGAAGGAACAACTGGGCAACAGCAACTTCTTCCCCTCAGATCTTCTACAAATGACTGTTCCTTCATTTTGCCTTATGATAGTGTTGATCCTGCTAGATTTGTGATCCTTTGTTATCTCCATAACAGCATATACCTCCATGCCCTCAGTGCGCAGTCACATTTTCGGTTCTTCTCATTTGTTGGGCTTAAGAACAACCCTCTCTCCAAGTCCATTTCCACTTCAGCAAATCCAGGTATGGTTCAAGGATACCCCGTTATAAACTCTCCCCAAGGCTCGCACTTGGCTCTTGTCATTACCACATATGCAACTTGCGAATCACAGTTGAGTCGCTCCATCAATTCACAGGATCTTAGACACAGCTTCGATTTATTGCTTTTTGTCATCCCCTTTTGTCTCAGGACAATGGAACAGCTGCCACTTCCCAAAACAAATGAGCCCAGTGCTATCTGGAGGGCTCCCATGCAAGATCAACCTAAAAACACACGAGGAACAGCTTCCGCTTTTCCCAGAAAAGTCTGAATCAAAACAAAGTGCCGTGAATCTGGGCACCCTTCCCATCTGTTCCTTCCCCTCCCCCATCTCTCATCCCCTCCCTGGGAACTGTGCAGGGGTAGGGAAAGGTGTTAGAGTTTGCAGCATAAATTCAAATCCAGAAAACACACACAGATGACTGATTCAGCAGGTTTCTTTAACTTCTTTATATACATAATAACATATTGAAGTAAAGTTTACAATACCAGTAGTTTCTTCCAACATAATATAAGCAAAACACAAGCAGCAGCTCAGGAGCTCAGATTACTTTCAGTTTCAAGCTGAGAGCATGGAGCTAAGCCACACCCTCAATTCAGTTCCCATTGGCTTCCTTTGTTAACCATGTCTCTGCCACTTCATGAATATTTTGACAGAAGGTCCATCAAGGCAGGGGTGGGATCTGACAGAGTTAACTACCAGTTCAGACATTTATGAGGCTCAGTGATTTATGATGTGCTTCCCTGCACGCTGCTGGCGCATGCCTGTAAATTGTCATCAGCGTGCTGCATGCAGAAAAGCAGCCTTTCAAAAAGCCCCTTTTTTCCTGCTTTTTTTTAAACTGCAGCTGTGCCTCGCAGGGCAGCTGAAGTTGAAAAAAATCAGAAAATAAAGGTCAGGTAAGAGCCCGGGTGGGCAGGTGGGCAAAAACTTCAGCAGACATTCTATGTCTGCTGCTCTTCAGAGCTACTGGTTCTACAGAGGTGGACAGAACCGGTAGAAACCCACCCCTGCATCAAGGGGACCCTGGCAAGACACTCCTGGGGAGAGGACAAAGCAACCCTGCTGCCAGAGCCCAGGAGCTGCTAACTTGGAAGGAGTGGCTTTTACATTTGCAAGCCATGTCTCCTGAGAGGTCTTGTGGAAAGATGGGTGAGCCCCTCATTCTTAGCTGTGTGGCTTCTCCCCACCCTCTTTCTCCTCTGCTTTAGCCCAGACCCTTCCATGCCAGGTTCCCACAAGCAATCCCGGGGAGCAGCTGGCAAAGAGGCAGCCCTCAAGCGACCGCTCTCCCTTTCCCTCCTCCTTCCCCTTGCTTCTGTGGTTAGGGATGAAAAGCCCCATTGTTCCCAGCTGCCAGAGAACATGCTTTTCCCATTCCTGCCCCCTGACACCCAGGGTCTGCTTGGAGGGCCAGCCCACAGTCACAGCCCACAGCACTGTGCAGGCTGTGCAGCCTGAGTGCACCAGCCAAGGAGGTGGTAGGCATGTTCACCGCTTGCTGTGCATGTGTGAGAGGGTGGGGCACTTGGCCAGGAATGGACAGTCCCTCACCAGATATGGTATTCAGCCGGTTCCAACTTGTTCTGGTGGACCAGTAACAGAAATTTTGACCAGTTAGGAGAACCGGCAAATACCACCTCTGACTGGCGCCACCCATGTCCCTTCCAGGAGTTCCCACATGCACCATTTTGGTTCTCAGGAGGCTGCAGGGAGGCCTAGCCTATAAGGCTGGGGGCACCCAATTGATTCACTGCCTCCCAGCTGATGATCGGTCTATTGCTGCCTCATAGGTGAATGGCTGGGTCTTCTTTTGTTGCCCTGCACAGGAAAACGGAGCTGAAAAGCAGGTTTTAAATTTTAATTAAATTTAATGCTTGGTTTCTGCAGAAAACATGGCAACTAGAAGGTTGAAAATTATCACTTATGTCTGAATAATGTTTCTCTTAGGGTAGAACACAGAGATAATGTGTTCTTTACTCATTTTCAAGTACAGGATATTTCATCTCACTGAGTGCTAACAGCACTATTTAAGTTTAAATGTTTCATCAGTTTATTGCAGATGAATAGACATACATAAAGCATACTGTTGTGGGAACATCAGAACATCTTGGAAATGGAGAAATGTCTTTAGCTGTCACTGGAATGGCATGCTTACATTCTTAGATTATGAGATGAACTAGAAATATTATATTATATTATTTCCAAATGTCAAGAATTATAATCTTTGGTGTATATAATATATTCAGAATGATGTGATCTGTGTTTATATTGTCAGTGTTTATCAGTAGAAATGCTGGTACAATAAATTAACATTGTGTAGCAGTTCAGATTTGACAAGAAACCCTCCCAAGGGTACCTGCTGACAAGTCTTAAAAAGCTGCATCTCTTCTTGATCTCATATGGTGGCCATTGCACCATCACAGGAACGGAAATGTTTAAAGTGGGACTTCAGCACGTATACATGCTTCAAATATATATTTTTTATCTTCAAATTCAATTTCCTTAATAATCACAAAATATATTGTGATTCTTTAGAAAATCAAAAGTAAGTGACTGGGTGCTATTCATAAAGATGTCAACTTGACTAATAAATGATGCTTTGAAAGGCAGTTGTCTGAGATGGTTTAAATCAAGGGTCTTCACACTTGGCAAATTTAAGACTTGTGGACTTCAACTCCCAGAATTCCTCCTCCAGTCATGTTAGCTCAGGAATTCTGGGAGTTGAAGTCCACAAGTTTTAAAGCTGTTAAGTTTGAAGATCCCTAGTTTAAATTATCATCCAAATTGAAATGGTTGAACTTTAATTGTGTGCTGATATTTATTGTTTGGTTAATCATGTTACACACTTCAAGTTAAACATTCATAGTTGACTCTGCTACTACTCTATCAATTTCTAAAAGGCCTTTAATGAGAGAAATAATTTTCCAGCTACAAAGTGAATGAGGGTGGATCTGCTTGGATTAAATGAAGATGTTTGGAACTAGCACAGAGTGATTTAATTGTGTCACTCAAAAGTTACAGTAACTTTTGGCTGGCAGAGTGCTGCAGGAGGCCATCCAGGCCAAAAATGAGGTGGGGGTGGACGTGCGAGGCCCCCCTGCGCCATGCTTTGGTTGGCAGAGTGCTGCAGGAGGCAGCACTTTCTTTCTCTTGTCTTTAGCAGCATCTGCCAACTCTCCAAGATCTGGATGGCTGTTCAGAAGAGCCAAAAACATCTGGCTCTTCACCCAGATCAGAGAGAGTGAGCCCCCTTGTATCAGTGTGTTTGTCACCTTTATCTTAATCATTTACCTGTGATTGATTTAATTGTAATTTTTTTAAATAAAGTTTTATTGAGTTTTAACAAAACAAATAAAACATCTTATTTGAGTACGGTATGGTTCCGAGTTATCACATTTCCATACAAACACAATTTCATATGCATATTCATCTTATGTATTCAACTTCATATCTTATTACTCTTTTTCCAACTTCTCACTATTTCTCCCTTTACCTCTCTTAATTTTCTTTTATGGTTATCTCATTTTCTTCTTATTCAATTGTGTTTCTTTTACCTAAATTTCTATATCTTTTTATTCATTGTACTTATACTTTTGTCTGTCTTGTTTACAATTTCGTATGTTCTCTTCCAACATTCTTAAGAAGCAAAATTCCCCCTATGATTGCCAATCGAAGTGCAACACCTTTAAATCTTATTGTTATTATCATATGAAATCTCATTAAACATTGAATTTGTGCATTCTAAAATTATAACATTCAAATTTCTAATATCTATTTTATATCATGTAGAGCTCATCATTCAGACTCTGCTTGGTACTTCCCCTTGAAAATGTAAAAAGAAAAATTCTAAAAGCATAGCAAAAACAATGTATATATATAAACATCAGTAAACAAAATAGTTATTCAAAATCATTCTAGTACTGGTACTGTTCTATCTTTGAGAACAATTGAAATGTTTCCCTCCCTTCTTCATTATTACTTAACTGTTAAGCATACCATTGGATAGTCATAGAGTTTTATCTTATAAATTATTTACTATTAATAAGCAAAATTATTATTCAGATTCATTCTAATAACTGGTATAAATTTCCTTATAAATCTTTCACATTTCTTTTCAATATTTTATCAATCTTTAGAAACAATTGCAATGGTTCCCTCTCTTCTTTATTATTGCAAATATTTATTTATTTATTTATTTATTTAATATTTATTATTATAAA